AACATTATCAACCAAATTATTCGTGTTTTTAATTTTTCTATGCGTACATATTTCGAACTCAGTAGACTTCTATTATGTTCAGAAACATATAGTCATGAAACTGAGCTTCTATTATGGGTAAACTTTTATTTTGGCGAAAGGTTTACTTTATTTCTACATGAATCCTTTCTCCGCAATCATCTTCTAGCGCAGAAACATTCATCAATATTGATTATACACCGAAACAATTCAAAAGAAATCCCTACCTTAATAAAAAACAAGGGTACTGAAACCAGGGAAAAAATTGAAAAAGTTTCTCGATGCATACGACATTGCTTGGAAGTGAAGAACCAAACACAACCTTCTTGTAAGCAAATACAAAACTTACAAAACATAACATCCACGAAACCAATCCTAATTCAGACAAAAGGTCACACTTCAAAAACCGAGAACACATTTACCTAGATCAACGCAAAAAGTGGAACTCACAATGTACCACACAGATATTGGCATGAGCCCAAATGATTGCGACTAAAATTAATGACTCGCAGCTGCATGCAAAAAATGAATACTATCTTCCACTGTGTACAACAAACAGTTAATCTAGAAAAAGCAGTTTAATTCCACTCGAACACTTAATGATCTTTCCAGTTCCACTATTTCTGCCCAGATTCGATTGAAATCATAAAACTTACCCATAATTCACATACCAGCAAACTGATTCACAAAAAACTGAATCCCGAAAGTAAAAAAAACACGATGCGACGGGATATCGAACCCGGTCTTTCGCAAAACAGGCGATGATAATGTCATTATACTGCTGCAGTTCTAGCTCGTATTAAGAGTAGCTTATTGTTTGCTATAGGCCTAGAAAAATTACTCAAGAAAAAGAATGTGTTCTAGCTGGACTGTTCGGCGATGTTTCCACTAATTCCATCTGCATAGAACAGAGATTGCAACAATCTAATTCAATGACAGTACGCATGCGAGAAATGTCGTTCGAGAGAAAGAAGATGAGAAAGTATGGGTGACATAGAAGCTTTAGTTGTGTAAAATGGTCTTAGTATATCAAGCAGTGGTTTTTCGGGGAAGCGTCAGTTGCATATTTTATCATGTACTGGTAATAGGGCATGGATTTTCTGCGTGGCTTGTCAGTAAGTCGCAAGTGAATTGTTAGCTTCGTCAGTTGTGAACAGAAATACGTGTTCACATCAATGGTATTGTATATGAAATCGATATATAATGATTTACATGTTAAATGTTAGTATATATTTACTGAAATGAAAAGGAAACGTTATGTTAATTATATTCGAATTCACTCATAAACGTTGCAGTTAGTATAACAACCTTTAGTACCAGATTATCGTCATAATAAAGTGAATACTAAATAGTTGTTTCAATTAACAAAAGTTAGAAGTAAATCACCTTGTGTTGGAGTTGACTAAGCACTCAATTGTTACTTGGTTTTCAAATGTGTTTATGGCTTAGATATAGATTTCATATCAATTCGATTTCATCGAGTCATAGTCTATATTGAAGTACATACTATTATCTCACTAAAATTAATCCTCTTTGAATCAGATATCCATGAAAAGAAATGTAGTTCAATATGAACTTTTAACAACTCGATTTGTTTCCAAAAGGATCGTTTTCAATTATCGGGTATCATGATGTTAGCAGTTATCATGCATCTTGTCTTACATAGCTGAATAGCTACGAGACGATTTTTGAGTCATGAGTATTTTTCAGAACATAATTACTGGTCGAATAAAATATTGAAATTCATCATATTTAGAACCTGATAGTTTTTAACTTACCGTAATAGTATTAATGGAATGTAAATGATTTGTAGTAGGCGAAATCGATTAATTTATTCGTAGCAATTTTTTTCTGCATGAATGAGCACATGTCATTTCGGATCTTTCATCTAGGTTAAGATGTTTTCTTCGCGAATTAATATAGGAAAGGCGTTAATCTCTGCTGTTATCTCTAAGCTTTTCTACTTTAGTTCTTTTCTTTTATTAACATATCGTATTCAATGCAGATGATACTGAAGAAAATCTTTTTAACAAAAAAGTCAAAAATACTTCAGTCAATTGAGAAGATTTTCGTGAAAAATAGATGTTGACATATTATATCAAAAAGCCAACTTTCTACACAGATTTGCCTATATCTAATTACATGAGCGGTGCAATACATTAGGAATATACGAGTAAAGTTTTGGATATTAGATAATTACTGCATTTACAAAGTTTGTCAACAAGAGATTTGTCTCTATGTTGAGATTGAATGTCTTCCTCCATCTCTGTTTCAAATTATATTTAAAAACTTCAAAAAAAAACTCCGTTCTTAGAAGGCAACTCAAGATCAAAAGTTGTTGTGAATTCGATTGATTCAAATAATCTAGAGTTCTATTGTATCAATCATTACAAATTACTTTGAGCAGCTCTCTCGAAAAGCATCTTTAATAGTTTTAAAGTTAGAAAATCATTCAATTATGTTTTTCATCACTTGATCATCATGACTATTCATATATGGTGTAGATGTAAGATATTCAAGAGAGAAACAGTATATTTCAAAATTTCAAAAAATTTGAGGTGACTGTTTAAAACCTCAATGGGTTTCTGAATTAAAGACGATTAGGTCGTTTCGACGACTTTTAACTTCGTCTATTTTATTATATTCTCTTTAAAAATGTCCTTAACATCTTGTACATTTATATAACTATGAGACGAGAAGAGATAATGAAATAAGAGAGAAAGAAATAGAAAAATATCAAGAGGCAGGCTGAAGATGAATCATTGCTAACCAAGACTTATATTCTTCAAGACACTGCTAAAGATAACAAAAGACTTCAAGAAACTTTCTGGAGAATTCATAAAACCTCACATGACCAAGAGTGTGGACGTAGGACTAGGTATTTCTAAATCTTCAGGTAGTAGGACACTCACACTTCCCCTCCGTAAATGCACACACTCGTTTCTACATTTACATCTGCAGTCACACCAACATTCCATCCATAATATTAAATCCGATTGTTCTAACATATGAACAGTTACCGGTAATTTTCTAAAAAGTTTTCTGTTATTTATTGTAGTGTGGGTGTGAGTCTCGGAATTAATATTCTCTTCATGAGATATGTTTTTCTATTTTTTTGTATTCGATAACTAAGATACCTTACATATTTTTCAGATGACTAGAATCTTGTCATGACCAACGGCCGTGATACACTTTAGAACGGGATATTCTTAAAGATATATATGGTGTGCTTTTTTTGCCTCAGTCAGTTGTTTTTTTCCCTTGTGGTTCATTGTATTTATATTTGAAATCAAGGAGATGATACACCAATACAAAGAGTAATTAGAGAACAACTAACAAGCTTGTTGCGTTATGTTCTGCGGTAACAAATTTTTTTGTTCCCGTTTCTGTGGTAATTTCCAAGTTTCTCTCATTATTTAGTTTTTTATGTTTAAAAAATAAAACTATCGTTGAAAGTATATTTTAATAACATGAATCAATCATTATTTATACGTCAAAATTTACCAACATTAAGTTAAGAGAATTATTTTTTTTATCAATTGAACAATGTGGAAAGACAAAAAAAAAGGCTCGCAAATCCTCAATAACGACGAAAAAACTCAAGAAAGAGTAATAACAATGCCATGTCGCGAGATAATCTGAAAAATACTCCTTTTCAAAATGATAAATACAAGGAAAATAATAGATGTTATAATTGAATTACATGCTAATGAATAATGAATGAACTTCTCCAATATTTGTTGATAGGTACTTTGTACTCGTTTTTTAATTAATAAGCAATGTAAATGTCTTTCGAGAAATGTCAAAATCTATTTCTCAACAATGTAACATTATATTGACTTCAACATTTTTTTTCCAAAAAGAGCAAAGTTCGGAGCGTACATATGTACAATAAAGCAAAACGATTTCCGGAAATGCTCATTATTAATACATGCATTCATAGTTCCTATCGATTGAGACATATTCAAACAAATGAGTAGCGCTCTATGCAGACGTTAAGACAGTTTTTTTTTATCATTCTTCTCCTATTTATTATTCGGACAGAGATAAAAATGTAGTGTGATAAAAAGTAAGCAGAAAGAAAAAAGAAAAGAAAGAAAACCTTGATTTTCTTTTTCTTTTTCTTTCTACCTGTCTGTTACAAAGGTTTGTTATATTTTCGCCTTTTGAATTTTTCAGCTCGTTGACACATCAAACTGAAATTATTCAAGAAGAGAAAAAAAATGATTTTCGAATCGTTGGCAAATGAGCTACTGCTTGATTTATTCGAATTTCTTTCCACTGCTCATCTTCTTCAGTCATTCTATGGACTTAATCATCGCTTTGATACGCTCCTTCTTGATCACTTTTGTGTTCGTGGGCTTGATTTGCGATTGGTGTCAAAACGTGACTTTGATACTCTTTATCAACAATACCTCTCGTCGATGGCCAATCGAGTCACTACACTTTACCTCTCAGATGGCGAGAATTTACAACAGACAGTACGTTTTGTCGCTCAAGGTTTTACTCTTCATCAATTTACTCATTTACGAATACTTAACTTGTATGATTTAATTTCTGTCACTACAATAAACAAACTGATCTCTGATTGTTGCCATCTATCTCATCTCACTTATCTTAGACTGGATAATTGTTACTTTTCATGTCATCAGACTGATGTAGTTAACATTGTAAACATTATTTGGAGTCTACCGAAACTGGTCTACTGTTATTTGGACATTGATTCTCGTGATGACATTGAATTTTTTGTGCCAAAAATAATTTCTTCATCGCTTGAATATTTAATCATCCCAAGTATCAATTGTCATTTGAATGAATTAGCTCATCTTATCGAATACACACCATATCTTCGATATCTTTCTGCATGTTTCACATACGATTCTGACGGTAGAACTTATCCGTCAATCATTTCATTGATAAGCCACTTCGATACATGGCTTGTTGCTGTAGAGAAAAATGAAATAGTAAATATTTTAGTACATATGCCTAATTTATGTAGTTTGACAGTTCAAACAATTAACGATAGTTCTGTTGATGGACATCAATGGGAACAAATTATTCGAAATCACTTAATCAAACTCAAACGATTTCGACTCAAATTAGCAAGAAAACTTGTGAACGATAGGAATTGGCAACAACATCTCGATGAACTTATTGATTCATTTCGAAGTCGATTTTGGCTTGAGGAACGTCGTTGGTTTGTTCAATGTGATTGGGATCCAGATGTTGCCGCAATTTATTTATACACTTTGCCGTATGCTTTTGATCGTTTTACAGGACATTTTCCTCTTTTGTTCAAATCGACTTGTCCGCATAATAAATGTCATTGTTCCTATGATCGTGTACATCGACTTAAATATATATCTTCTCCATCTGAAGACGTAAACCAGTCCCATATTAGCTTTTCTAACGTTCAAGATCTTACTATTTATTTTCCTATCAATAATCATTTGTGGATGATCGTTCCAAGATTTCATCAATTAACCTTACTTTGTGTGGCATGGTATAATTATGATCAAGATTTTCCAAGTCAATTACAATTGCTGCTTGATCGAGCACCTCGTCTCCATTCCTTAAGCGTTGAAACATGGCGATCATACCCTACACAAATCGCACCATTCGAAATTACGCATGCTTCGATTCGAAGACTCGATTTTTACAACTATCATTACCATTATAACAATGAAGACTGCAGAATATTGAGCGGTTCGCCATTAGGGATACAGTGTGAAATACTTCGTATCTCAGTTGAAAATCGAACATGTGTAGTGGATCTTGTTAACAAAATGTCTAACCTTCATCAGTTGATAGTTCAGTGCCGAGACGATACGCATACAGAACAGTCAATAGTGAGTCCAGATGAACTTGTTGAATGGTTGCAACATGAGTTGCCATCGACATGTGCAATAACAAGAAACATTCGTTTATCAAGTGAAATTAACTTGTGGATTGGTTAATGAAGAAGCAAATGTGCCTAGTGATCTGTTATAGGAGAAAATCATCATAGCAATGCAAAGTATGAAATAGGCATATATTTATAAAAGTTTTAAAAAGACACTGTAGCTAAGCGTGTCGATGAAATTAGAACTCACATCGATCCACGCCCTATTCTCAAGTATTTTATTGATAAAATAGAGACAATTCATTGTGACGCAATAGAAAGTTTCTATTAAGCACATACTTTTTAATGTTTTTGTAATGAAACTCAGCAGCAACAGCATTCATCAAAATAGAATTGAAGACTTTTGTCATGTAGTTGGATGGGTGTGAGTGAATTCGGATTTTCTCTTCTTCAACACTCATCCATCTCTGCAGACACAATAGCGGCTTAAAATAAAATCTCTCACATAAATGGAAAGTTTCGACAAAAACGCTGTACATCAGCTGAGAATCTTTTCTTGTCAGTATTGTTGATGATACTTTTGATAAGTGAAGCCAAAACTCCAAATAATCTTGAATAAATGTTGAACAAGACATAATTCTTCATTTGAACATACTTAAATACGAATATCAATACGTATTATTTGAAAGTGCAAAATAATTGTATATATGTATAATATACGAGTTAAGAAAGTTTTATATTATTGTTATAAAAAATGACATAGATAAGAAAAGAATAAATTAATGTTGACGAATAGCTGTATTCAAAATGCGATTTTTACATTCTTCCAGTTTCAAGTCTTCATATTCTAGTATTTTAGTTAGATTTATCAATTTAAAATTGCCGGCTACACCAGTCACAATAGAACATGGAGCATCATTATAAAATTTCTGCCATAGAGCTACTGATTCCTGTGTCCATTTACGTCTCTTTAACTATTCTCCAAGTTTTTTGTAGTCAAATGTTGATCTTTAGACAAAAATATTGGGGAAAAAAGGAAGTAATTTGAAAAGAAAAAACTTCTAGACTTACTTAGAACTATTCATTACTTTTTTCCATGCTTCTTGAGAATTGAACGACAAACAAGTGTAAAAGTTTTTCAAACCAGGATAATAAAGAAAGTAATGTAGGCACATTTCATCTTTCTTTCTTTCACTACCCTCAATATAGTTATATTTATAAAAACGAACTCTATTTTACTCGATTATTTTACTAAAGTTATATCAATTTTGTTTGCTGTACTATAAATACATCGAGTAGCCAATTCATCGCCCTATGACAAATATATAATATACAAGAAAAAAGATTATAGAATAGAAAAAAAATCTTATACTGGATACAATTCAATTGGTTTTTGGTAAAAGATTTTTAAATTGATAACTGAAATTATATGCATCAGCATGAAACAAATATTCAATTACTTTTTTATTTCGAATTAGCTTTGTCCATATACTTAGACCTTTGTATAAAAATAATTCCATGTATATATAGAAGTTTTGGCTTTACCTTGTCAATGTGTGTGGAAATACAGCAAGAACTTTTATAACCGGTTCAGAAAAATTCTATAATAAAGATGAGTTTACTTTCTAAATAGAAACAAACCTTCTTCTTACTTGTGTTGGTTCAGCTGGATAATAAGAATCGAATATAAATCGATCAGCTTTTGGTGGAATAGCAATAGCAAAAGGAGTTTTATCTACACCAAGTGTAAGATAACCAAATTCATATTGACGCAGTTCTTTTTTAAGATAAAATCTGACACCTGAATTATCAAGATTATCATAATGCATGTGAAACATATAATATTTTATCTCAAAATCGCCACCTATTGGATATCCACCAATCTCTGAATATTCTACTATCTATGAAGACGAAATTTTTCTATGAATAGATATTTAAGTTAGAAAATTTACTTCATCATCAACCACCCATATACTAGCGATACTTGAAAAGCATGGAAAAATACTTTCAGTAATTTCATCACATATACCATGTGGTAAACTGTTATCATCGAATACAGCTGTAGGCTTACATTCTGACAACACTAAATGATGAACAATATCTCGATTATCTGGATCAATCAGTGTTTTATCGTTCCTATGAGTATTTCAATAAATATTGTATATATATAGAAAACATATCGACATTTTGTATTATATTTGAAAACGAACTTGACCTCTTGATGGATCCATCCAAGTCCAATATCGGCATCTTTCATTCCACCGGCTTTATGTGACAAACATCAAAAGTTCAAGATAAAGAAAAACTTATTTTGACAAATGATGTACCTGGACTAATACTCAAAGCAATGCATCCTGTTGTTTTGATATGTAATTCAAAAGTAATTTCTTACTAAGTTTTCATCTACTGTCCACCAAAGATCAGCTACGTTAGGCTGAAGTTCAGTTGAATATTGATAATTTGTATATGGTTGAAGAGAACTTAAAATTCCATTGCTTTGTTTAATTATCAATAATGATAGAATGATGTAAGAAACCATGTATAGTCGCTTCATTTGTTGTTATCAAAATAAATTTATTACTATCAAAAAAATATTTGTCTACTACCAGGCAAATTTCCTAGCTATCAAAGCTTATCAATATGATGAGGACATTTATTTAATGATATAGAATATAATACGTATCATTGGATGATACAGTTTTTGTCCTTATTCAATTAGTGACCGAAGTGATATAGTGGCATGATATTTTTGTCCAAAGATAAATTATAGTATTGGTCATTTTTTAAAAGATATTAGATATCCTAGTTAACGATGCGCTGGACCAGAAACAATGTGGTTCCATACATCTCTCTCGTCAACTAGAGAAATCAAACAAACGAATATTGAAGCATTATTTTAGATTTGACACCAATAAATTTTAAAAAACGCCCACATCCCACATAATTATTGTAAGTTTTGTTCTCCTTTTTTGTTTAATCTAATTTTTAACTCTTTAAAACTTGAAAAATATCTTGCTCGTTTTTAGTCCTTTAATATTTTTTTCGATAGATCTTTTGTTATAAGTCATTCCTTAAATGACCTTTCAAAATATGTACAGAAAAAATTTCAAATCAAGAAAAAAATTGTACATGTAGCAAAACAAAAATTTTATAATGTGCAATGTTTTCTGTTTGGTTAGACCAAAACAATGCTCACGTAATTCAGTTCACAAGATAAAGTCTTATTGATTATCTGCTTAATAGTTCATGAGAAGTCTCAAATAAATTTTCAGTGCAACTACTTGTTGACTCTTGCAACTGATGTCGTCTTAAATAGATTTATCGTTCTTAATAATAAAAAAATCCTGTTAGTTGCTTTGGATTGACTGAACATTATATTCTTACACTTTTATTACTATTCTAACACGAGTACTCATATCTTATATAAATACATTCAGTTAAAGAGCATGTCCTGTTTATACATAAATTAATTTTCGTCGATGTTGACAATTTATAAAACATCCTTTATATATTGAAATATGGTCCGTTTCAACGATTTTTTTATAGGACTCGTTACTTTTTTTCTAGGATAGTCATATATGATTGAACATTTTAGCCGAAACAGAGATCCATTCATTATTCGGTCGTTATTAATCAGTTAATGAAAATATCTTCTACAAGCATTCATTTTCCTTTTTCTCTTCAGATTTTAATAAGTCTTCATGAAGCACTAAAATATTATATTGGCTTAATTCTGTTAGTTTTTTCAAAGACACAAATGTAAACTTTGTATATATGATGTAATAACCTTTACAGACAAATCTGATTATTCCTTTCAACCGATGATCCAAACCTAAATATGATCTTTAGAAAAGTTCAACTGAGATAACACAATTTCGATGTTGCCTATATACTTCGATTCAAAAAATAAAACAGTTTTGTTCTCACTAAATTTTTATCAAACAAAAGAAGGCATATGCATAAATTATTTTTCAACCACTTTGAGCCAATTACGACTTTGATAAACTCAATTGAAAAACCGAAAGCGTAACAATGCATTTAATTTCTAGAACCAAAACAAGACGCTAAAGAATGTAGATTTTTACGATTTTATTTTCGTTAAAAGTTCGACGCATTTTTACAACTTATCTCTTATTGTTTACCTGTTTCGATGATTGTTTGGTTTTAACTATTACAAAAATTCTCTAATATTTATTTTATTATCATCTAAAACAATTGAATACATCAACACTACATGTAGGATGTGGAGTGTGAGTCTTCAGTTCAATAGCATCCACATGCCACATCAGACATCCTCACCCAGCCTCACATTCACCCATATCCATACCCTTTCATATTCTAAAATTCTAAAAGCAAGAGTTACAAGGAATCATGACAGGCTCCTGAATATAACTTGAGCATATCGTTGACATTGAAGACTCTCAAAAATCTTTCCAGAATATCTCAAGGAATTACCATAAGTCCGATAAGAGTATGTTCTGTAGTTATTATTCAAAAACCTATCCTAGTAATTTTTATTTTGACTACTGTATTAGGAAGCAGAGACTGAAAACGAGTCGAGTACTCGACAAATCGACTCGACTCGACTCGGTTCACGCCGAGTCGAGTCGAGCCCGAGTGCGAAGTTTGAGAAATGTGTCGAGTCGAGTCGAGTTCAGTCAGATCTACTGACGAGTCGAGTCGAGTCGAGTTCAGTCAGATCTACTGACGAGTCGAGTCGAGTCGAATTTGATCCCAACGATTCGACTTTTTAAAAATTTCTTCATAATACTATCATTTGTTTCTCACTATTAGTCATCGTCATCGTTAGACGAACCGAGATGAGACAATGTCAATTCATTTCAATGAATAGGTTGAACAAAGCATTAAAATGAATAGACAGCGATGAACTGACGACGCTAAGGCCCCGAACAGACCAGAGATGTCCATCGCGGCTGAAAATCTGCCGCTGCCGCGCCGCGGCCTTAGAAAAAAAGCTGCCGCGCCGCGATGGCTTATAAAAAAAACGTTGCCGTGCCGCTGCCGCGATGAATTATAAAATAAACGTGCCGCCGCCGCGCCGCTGCCGCGGTGGTTTACAAAAAAGTGTTTCTAATTTCACTGCTGCGACTATATTTGACCAGAGATATTGGTACTAGACCATCAGATTCATTCAGTCTCGGGGTGTTTCATTTGTAAACCCTGAAATTCTATTAAATTCATGCAGTTTTTCAATGTTCCCCAAAAAAATCCTGCCGCTGCCGCGATGGTCTTTTAAAAAACCTGCCGCTACCGCGCCGCTGCCGCGATGATTTTTAAAAAATCTACCGCTACCGCGCCGCTGCCGCGGTGATTTTTTAAAAAACCTGCCGCTGCCGCTGCCGCCACAGGCCATCGCGGCAGCGGCGCGGCAGCGCCGCGATGGACATCTCTGGAACAGACTGACTAATTCAAAGTGAATTAAGAAACACGATTGGCCTTTTTGCATAGCAACGTGAATTGTATTGGTTAATTCAGTTTTATCGTGTCCACTCTGTTCGGGGCCTAAATAAACTACAATGAATGATATACACTAGCTTTCATTGTATTCAATGCATTATTGACTGTTCAAAGATTAATTAGAATGCAATGACTTGATTGATCGTCAGCCTATGTAAGTGATCGGCAGGCGACGTGCAACAGATTTAGTAGTGTATTGCATTATTTCATTATCTATCGCAAAAAGATGATCAAAACAGAATGAATGTTAATATGATCAAATATTTGATCATATTTAGAATATTGAAATCGATGAAATATGTTAACCATTCCATCCAATAGGACCGTTTCGAATAGTCTTGGAACATTTATGGGGAGAAGAAATCGACCTGCAGTATTGCCGAAATCGCGCAAGAAAATGATTCAGAATTATTCGAGACGATAATTCCAAGCTCTGAAACCGAGTAGAAAACGTAGAAAATTTCTGTTTCTGACAGAGAACCTCCGAAAATCGAAGCAGTACATCAAGTGGAGAGAGCGAAGGACTTTTTCGATGACTTCCGACCATCTTTGAGCGACAAAGACAGGATTTTAATGGGAAGACACAGAAAAAAATCTGAGATCTCCAAGTCTCAAATACTGCTTTCAAGAAATTGTCGCAATTTCCTGAAGCTGACGGTTTCCTTTTCGTGTGGTCCGACATGGATGTTTCAACACTATGATAGAAGTGAAATGTGTGTCTAAATTTCTTCTCATTCTTGATATTAAGAATGTACTTCTAAACATTCGATTTTGAATCGATACTCGGCGGCTCGACTCGACTCGGCTCGAGTCGAGTCGAGCCGAGTCAGATGTTTTTTAGATGCATGTCGAGTCGAGCCGAGTCGATTGAATGGTTCAGTCGAGTCGAGTCGAGTCGAGTTGAATTTTTTTGACTCGTTCCAGTCTCTGTTAGGAAGATGATGATTTATTCAAATGAGGAGCGATAAACAAAAAAACAAGCTTCAAAATGATGTGTCTCCTACAAATAATTCAGTTTTCTTCCAACAGATAACAGTATACTGAAAATAAGACTCATGCTCAATTGCCTTCATCCCAGTTGGCCTCTCCGAAGTATATGAGGCCCCACTCTCTAGCGATTTTTTTTAAGAAGTCTATGTAGGGGTACATATGTTTGGCCAATCTGGAAAGTTGTTGGAAATAGTCTTCGATGCCACCTGGTGAGAAAAAGAACTGAAGACGAGCTGGCTTGCTGCCTGTTTTATTCTGATTGCGCCATGCATGCTGAATCCCGCGCGGAGCATAAACACAAGAACCCTGCGACATTGTCAAAGTTTTGTTGTATATATAGAACTGGATTTCACCTTCGAGCACGTAGAACACTTCATCTTCGAATTGATGTAGGTGCACAAGTGTGTCTTCAAATAAACTCTAGAGTAGTATGAATCTATCTATATTTAATGACTATACCTTCTCCAGGCATTATAATACCTTCCATAATCATATATTGACCATTGGTTTGCTTTGCTCCCAGCTTCATGTAATACGGATATTCGCGAAAGTAGAATGCTTCACCTTCATCTTGACTCAGTCCAATTGCATTTCCTCCAAATTCTATTACTTTTGCTCCTGCATACATGTGCTTCAGTCTCAGCATCGGTCTATCAACAACTGGCTCCATTAAGCGATCTAATCTTGGCCCATAATAGAAAGTCGATTCTAAAAAGTTTCATTTCGTTAAGAAAACATTTTTACACTGTACACTCACGGTTTTGTGTTACCACTGTCCAGATGAAATTC